TTTTATAAGGTTTTGGAATGGAACTGATAAAGGTATTGTAAAACCAGATATTTTAGCAAAGGTTTACTTTAACACCAGACCATACTTAGTAAATAAGAATACATACATTATTTACATAGCCTGGTTTTGAAACTTACTTGATATTTTCGTATTTTCTGTTTATTTCAAAAGCCGAGATTTGTCTCTCTTCGTGAGAGCGAAACTTGGCTTATAAGTTTGAACTTATAAAGTAAACTAAGGGTCTTGTCGGCCACTCGTGTATTTCTATGCGCGTGCGTGATTCGTAGATCCAAACTGTATACATTAATTGATCAGTATCATTGACTAAGGTAGCATTAAGTAATGTAAATTAAAATTGCGACATATTAATCTTAGGCCTACTTGATAAACCTGAATATGAGCCAGTGTGGCCACGAAACATGTAGTTTGACTAGATACCTAAGGATATTGTAAGATTAAGAAATACTACTAGTAATATTATCACCTAAAAGGTGGTTTCACTTTAACATCTATTACCTATATATTCCTTTTAACAAAATTAATTTAAATAAGTAATTATGTTTGCTCCTACAGGAAAAATAATAAGGTGTGTTTTGTTTAAATATTGATATCTTAGTATGAAATAAACAAATTTTACCAAATATAATTAAAATATGCCTATAAACAAGCAAACTACAATAGTTTATTTAGTCTCCATAAGAATAATATGGGAATTTTCAATTTCACTTTTTGGGATTTTTCCGTAACCGTTAGGCATACAAACGCTGATTATCAACAGTGCAGGATGATTTTCAGTTTTCTCTTGAAAACACGACCCAAACATATGCGCAGTTATTTTATTCGTCTCCGTGTGTAGCTCAAACGCAATCGGAATATATAATTAATTTGTGACTAATCTACCAAACAACCGATGCCATACTCGATCTATAACGTTACGAGCGTCAAGTTTTATTGAACCCAGTAAGTCCAGTGGCGGTTCTAGGACCTTGTCAAGGGGGGGGGGCTACCGGGGGGTCTTGGGGGGTCTTGGGGGGTGTGGAGCACCCCTCAATATAGACGGGGTCCGGGGGGAAATTTGAAATTTTCAAAGCCGTTTGGTGACTTTCTAAAGCCATTTTTAACACCTAAAACCGTGACCAACTGTCCATAAACTGCCATTTCACCTATTGTTTGCCATGAGCAAATAGACATTTAAAAAATTAAACTTTGAAGATTGCATTCGTGAATTTCAAAACACACTGTAGACTACGGCCATATCCTCCTAAAAGCCGTTGGGTGACTTTCTACAGCCAGTTTTACGTCTAGAACTGTGTGCAAAACCTCCCATTTCCCCATTTATTTGTCATTAATAAGTGACATTTTTAAAACTACCTATGACGATTGAATTCATAAATCTCAAAACATATTAAAGGCTACAGCTACAGCCATAACCTAAAAGCTGTTTACTGACTTTCTAAAGCCATTTGTCTATATCTGTGTCCAACTGCTGTCCATAAACCTCCCATTTCACGTATTATTTGTCTTTGTTATGAGCAAGTAGACATTTAAAAAATCAAACTACATCAGTATGACGAAATTGCATTCATGAATTTCAAAACATAGGCCTACTGTAGACTACGAAGCCATCTCCTAAAAGCCGTTTGGTGACTTTATAAAGCCATTTCTAACGGCTAGAAGTAGAACTGTGCCCAATTGTTCTAAAACCTTCTATTTTACCTGTTATATGTCATGCAAGCAAGAAGACACGGGTTTTTAACCTTACGTTTTTCTCCATTTCATAGATCTCTTACAATATCTATAGTATCGAATTCAGTAATAGCATTGACTATATAAACTTTAACACTAGTGTTTTATATAGTCGATTGTAATAGGCTACTGGTGCTACCGCTGATTGCTGATTGATGCCTGTGTAAAGTTAGTGGCTAGCAGCATTGACTATAGAACAGTAGTGTTATATAGTCAATGCTAGCAGGCAATTTGACAACAACTAACTATGGAACTGGAACATAAGGAAATCAGCTGTTTCCCCGTCCTCGCTCGCGCGCTGGGCGCTCGCCTTTGCCCTAGCATGTCAACAGCTGACTGATGTAAAAATTGGATGATGCGTACAACAGGTACAACTTTCCATAGCGTAATATTGTTTTATTCGTTGTGCTGTTGTTCACAAATTGTATCTATGTTGAACTTAATACTACTCCTGCCATCGCTTATTAAGTTTAATAAAAACTACATTGATGTCTGTTCTATGACATCGCGTGTTTTAAGAACGAAATGTACGTTTAAATTTATTTTTCCAGGGTCCAAGGGGGGGGGGCTTTAGCCCCTGTAGCCCCCCCCCCCCTTGGAACTGCTACTGCCAGTAACTTTGGTTTGTTGGTGTTGATAAGTGACTACAAAATATAATCAATTAGCATTCGATGCAACGCCGTAAGAACAAAATATCTTAATGGCAGTAATGGTACACTCATAAAGTTTCCTCTTTCCGAGATTCTGCAAAGCTCCTCCCAATGGATGGCATATGCATGAATCTGCCTGGTCTACTACACAGTTGGCACTGTTGGCAGCCTTGGTGACCGGATCTGTCTGCGTGGGATACGGACAGGATTTAGAATTTTGCTAAGAAAAATTGATTGGTAACTGGTCAATAAATAATAGTAAATAAACCTTAAAATTGGACTTATAGATTTTTAGAACAGAAAAAGTTTCTCCAGCAGATAGAAACTAATATGGTAAATTTAATTAATTGTATAAATTTCATAAAACCTGTTACCCTGTACATTGGAGTACATTATATCCGGAAATCACTACTAAAATAGGTTAAATTTTAGCATAAAAAATTAGCACAAAATAAAAATGTATACTCTACATTGCTTACTATAAACCCAACTAACCACTTCCGAGCAAAGCTTGGTCCCCGGTATAACGTCCGTAAACAAGCATACTACAACATTCATTCTCCTTAAAGCCCCCCACACACTACCAGACCAGACCTCCAGACCAGACCGTCTGGCTACAACCAGACCGTCTTGGACGGCTCTACACACTCCCAGACCAGACGGTCCTAATTCGTAATTGAGAGACCGTGGTGAGAACTCCAACAAATGGATGAAGATTGTCACGATGGTCGGCCGTCTGACAGACAGCTCTACACACTCACAGACCAGACAAAAATAGTGGTGGGGGAACCTCAGACCGTCTGTGGTCTGAGGGTTCAACCATCAGACACGCAGACAGTCTGGTCCGAGAAAATCGGTCTGCAGACAGCCCCACACACGATAAGACAAGTGCCAGACGCCAGACCAGACCGTCTGGCTGCAACCAGACCGTCTAGCACGGCTCTACACACTCCCAGACCAGACGGTCCTAATTCGTAATTGAGAGACCGTGGTGAGAACTCCAACAAATGGATGAAGACTGTCACGATGGTCGGCCGTCTGACAGACAGCGCTACACACTCACAGACCAGACAAAAATAGTGGTGGGGGAACCTCAGACCGTCTGTGGTCTTAAGCCCCCCACACACTACCAGACCAGACCTCCAGACCAGACCGTCTGGCTGCAACCAGACTGTCTTGGACGGCTCTACACACTCCCAGACCAGACGGTCTAACATTCGTAATTGGGAGACCGTGGTGAGAACTCCAACAAATGGATGAAGACTGTCACGATGGTCGGCCGTCTGACAGACAGCGCTACACACTCACAGACCAGACAAAAATAGTGGTGGGGGAACCTCAGACCGTCTGTGGTCTGAGGGTTCAACCATCAGACACGCAGACCGTCTGGCCCGAGAAAATCAGTCTGCAGACAGCCCCACACACGACAAGACAAGTGCCAGACGCCAGACCAGACGGTCTGGTCTGTAGGTCTGGTCTGGTAGTGTGTGGGGGGCTTGAGGGTTCAACCATCAGACACGCAGACAGTCTGGTCCGAGAAAATCGGTCTGCAGACAGCCCCACACACCATAAGACAAGTGCCAGACGCCAGACCAGACGGTCTGGTCTGGAGGTCTGGTCTGGTAGTGTGTGGGGGGCTTTAAAATGATCAGTTTGTCTCAGATTTGGCCTTGGCAAATTTTGAGCCAGCAAATAGGTTGGGTAATGTCATATTTATTTATTTATATAACCATAAGACAAAACATACTCCTCAAGGACTATGTTTTGTTTTATCTATGATATAACCAACGGCATACTCAATTTAACAAAAATGTTTTAAAATCAATCTGATTAAAATGTAAAGTTGTTGTTTTTTCGTCTCATTTTAAATTCATTATACACTGCACTGCCTGTTTCCTTGTTATTATTATTAGTGCAGTGTGGGGAATAATCTATTGTTTATTGTTTTTATAGGTGTATGTTGTTGTTAATTAACATTTGTTATTGTTATGTTACCGTCCTATTGCCTAAGTAGCACTAACCTTACGGTTGTTTAGTCATCTTGTAACCGTTTACATTGCATTACTATTGATATAATTTTTTTAAGCAAAAAGTACTGTACATAAAATTAAATGTCCGCTGGCATTAAAATTAAAAATCAAATAAAATTGTTGTAAGTTAGTTTGCCTGTTCATGGATATATTTTGATGTATTTTGACAAATTTCAATTATGCCAAATTTCAAACGTTCAATAAAAAAACACACTTTATATTACCCTTCCTGTAGCAGAAAACCGAAGTACATAAAATTGATGTTATTTATTAATAGGAAATAAATCTCATTTCTAAGGATTTTTTTAGTGGAAATCCAGCCATCTACATATAAATTCGATTAGTCTGCAGGTTTGCTTCAACGGGGGTATTTATCGTTGTCAAGAACATTAGCAATACCATAAGTAGTAACATAGATTAAACATACTCCCTAAGGGTTTATTTCACTGCCCTCCTGACAATATTCTTTGCTGTTGGAAGTTTTCTTACTCTATTCAACCTCTTTTTTCAGTTAATCCGCTCGGTTCCTTGGATCTTGGATGTATTTTTTTATTTACCGTTTGAGGTCGTTCTTTCTTCCTTTCTTTAGGCTTAGTAGACGGCGAGACGCTTTTTCTGTTTATTTAGTTTCGTTCACTCGTTCAGTACAGTTGTGTGTTTTGTGATACGGCAGGGTTTTTACTGTGTATTGTGTATGTTAAATTAATTTTCAAAATGAGGCTCTTCTCTCGTCTTTTAAGTAAATTTGTTGATAACAAGATGAACAAAATGGTTGATTTCTACGCGCAATTCAATCCATCGCCCCTCTCGATCAAACAGTTCATAGATTTCGGTAAGTAGATTTTGTCGCAATTAGGCCTACCCTAGTTGTATTCATATTATTTTAGTCCATATATTTACTTAATCATAAAATTGCATTTCAAATATAGGCTAACCCTAACCGTACTCTCTTAAACATAACTTAAAATGTAGCCTAAGTTATGCTCTTGTGTATAACTTTTAGACAAAATTAAGAATTTCCAAAGGCCTAGTCCTAGGTTCGGGGTAGGCCTAGGCTTATGTATTAACATCAGTTGGGCTAGCCAGATTTAGGATATTTGTGGTTTCTATACATTGCGATTTCCCAAGTCCCTATCGAGCCTTCATGAGAATCATAAAATAATGGTTTACTCAGGTGAATACGGTAACGTAAACCTTCAATGTAAAAAAAAGAGGAGGCCTAGGCTAAACCCAGGCATATCTACAGTAGTCGCAGCTAGTCTGGGCGCGCGGCCGCGCTTGGGCAGGGGGTGTAGAGGGGAGTGTTTATTGCTTATTTCTAAAAACATTTGGCCCACACGGCACTCTGGGGTTGTTCAGCGCCTCAGCAATGTCTTAATGGCTCTGGCGTGTGGGACGGTTAGTACACAAGGGTCCGCACACCCAGACTAACTGCGACTACTGTAGTCCTAGGTTAGCTCAGAAGGAGCATAACTGGCTATTATATTTAGCCTAAGTTAATAGTCCAATTAATGATTGACGGTTTATTGTTTCTAACCCCTAAATCACCTAAAACATCCTTAAAACGATTTGTAACTATTCCTTTACAACTTTGTTAATGATTTATTGGGATGCGAGGCTTCCTTTTTTTAATAATTATTTAAATAGGGGATATCAACATTAGTCCAAAAACTCACAAGGAAACTTTAGGGTTTTGGTTGAGGGAGACATCTAACTTAACGTGGTTAATCATCGTGAGAAACAGGTCTATAATATATTAGACAGGTTATAATATACTTAGACGGGTAAGCTCAAAAGATTAATTATAGCGGGGGTCTCCTGAAAAAACCCAAAATCCCCAAAATATGGAAATAAGTATTCTTACGTAATACGAGATAAAATCATGATTTATGGAAATATGGTGAATACTTACCAACTAAAACTTCTGCTTGGATGGTTGGAGCGTTACTATCTGTCTCTGGCCGCCCTGGAAATAGCTACTGATGTGGAGCAGAGACAGGTAGACAAAGAGTAATAGTCTTACGAGTCTTAACAAGGTTGTTAATTAATGTTGCATTCGAACGAACCTTATTTAGGCATGTGGGGAAGGGAGGTCGGGGTTATGCGGATTCGTGGCTGCATTAATCGTTATGAAGTTAGGTTAGATTAGGAAGGTAAAGTTTAGGTTATAGTTAACCGGGTTGTTTATTAATGTTATATCCACATATTTTTATCACCATTGGGACATTGGCTTAAACAACGAAATCATGATGGAATGGCCTCTAGATCGTCTGAGTAAACTAACATAGGCTAGGTTTAAATCACCCTACCTGTTTTCTGTCAAAACAATCGTCTTGGTAGTATGATGAGTACAGCTGTTTCGTGCTTTTTAAAAATAGCACATCTTCAGGTTGAGAATGTCTTCATGTGGAGTTCGTTAAAAATATATAAGATAGGTACAAATAAATAAACGTGGGAAACATACGGACATGACACAAACGAAAATACATTTAATTAACTGGTCGACCAGTCCCTGATTCACGAGACTAACCTTCTACCGGCGCCGCGTATCGTGAATCAGCGTCTGGTCGACCAGTTAGTTAAATGTATTTTCGTGTGTGTCATGTCCGTATGTGTCCCCCGTTTATTTATTTGTATATATTTTTGACGAACTCCACATGAGGGATTAGCACGACATTCTCGACCTGAAGATGTGCTATTTTAAAAAAGCACGAAACAGCTGTAGTCATCATACTACCAAGACGATCGTTTTGACAGGAAACAGGTAATTTAAACCTATATTAGTTTAACGAGACAATTTCTAAAAATGTGTGAAAATAAAAAGATGTATCAAAAATAAATATTAAGTTATATTTGAGTTTGAGCTTAAAAGTAAAATATGGGCTTTTAATTTTAACTTAGAATGGGCTTGTTTCGTAAATTTTGCAGTTACTGTTAGTAGATCTAGCTACTTAGGCCCATTATTGACTAGGTACTGTTTGCTATAAGGCTACAGTTGGCCTATATATAAGTTAAGTTACCGTTACTTTATACATACTTACGTTATTATACATACTTTCCTTATAGGCATTGAGTACGTAAAAGAGGGGACAGATAATGCTAATAGTTGTTACCGATTTTGGTGACGTTTTTTCAAGCCGCTGATGCTTAGGTCACAGTCAGTAGTTTTTTTTTTTTTTTTTTGTCTAACGATGCTAGGCACGAGCTCGGGATTGTTTTTCACATTACATCAGGTTAGACCTATGGGTTGCTGCATTATCACTTAGATAAAATCTATTGGTGATCTGGCGGGATTTGAACCCAGGACCTCAGAGACCAAAGTCCCGCGCTCTAACCATTACACCGGCTCACTCCCCAGTCGCCCTGTAGTGCAGCAAGCCTCTGAGGGCCTTTTAATTATTAAGTAATACAAAAATAACACAACGAAATTACGACCAATCAAACTAATTTCATCAACAAAAATGACATTTTAGGCTACAACCTTCAATGAAAGCAATATTAAAAAAAACCAAACTCTGCTTTACCGACATGCCCGAGGTAGAGTTGTTCGGGCTGCTGATGCTAACTTACTCTGCAACAGTGCTGTTCAGGTAGGCCTAATGCTATTCTCCATTGAGTGTCTACTTTAGTACATGTACATACTTAATGCTGCTACCTATGTTTTAAAAACCCATAAACTACTGCATCAGAAAATCTTTCAATCTTTTTTGTGGGGGTCGGTGAAATGCAGGAAAATGGGATTTCTTCTTCAATATGTGTTGTGAGTACTCAAATTGTGAGTAGTCTCATACTGATTATGATGATGCACCTTGTTTTATAATATAAAATCATTAGAGTTAGCCTAAGTAAATTAGGTATGCCTTTAAAATGTAGCCTGTAGGCCTACCAATTAGGGCCTAGCCTAGAACAAGTGATAGGCTTATGCCCAGTAGCCTACTTTTCTGACTGATTGTTTGTGGCTGGTCCAGAGTTTGTAGAAGTTCACCTTCTCCATTTTCGATCGCCTAATTTTAAGTAGCCTATCAGGACAAATAAAAAAAATATTCAGCATAACATAGGCTTCAAATTGATACATAATTAAATGGGATAAATATTTAATAAGTAGGCCTATGTCAAGTGCAAAAACTTAAACAGATTTTTTTCAGCGATGAAAACATTGTTTTTCATGCAATATTTAAAAAATAAAAAATAAATTCTCACCTTTAACATTCTTTTTATTTTAAAGCTGTCATACAAGACTAAATCAGGCCTAAATCAAAAGTTTTATTCATAAGAGTGTTGTCCTTTATTGTCTATAGGTCTAAAAATATGGTGGATTGTCAAATTTTTGCCATTTTCAAGATCTTATATAACAAAAGGGAATGAATAAAAAAATATCAAATTTCTGTCATAAGCACTTGTAGTTAATATAAGTATGATGTACCAGTTTAATCACTGAGACTCATCTAGTATAGAAGATAATATGCCACATCAAAATTGGACGAAAACAACAAAACCGCTAGTAAGCTTTAAGAATGCATTGATAAGAAATAAGCCAAAAAGTAAATTATTTTTATGGTTTCATTACAAATAGTTTGTTATTTATGATAAGTTGTGGTAATTTGATAATAAACCAAATTCAAACCTCAGTTAAACTTGCGATGGAATCGGGGGTACTGCCAAACGAGATCTAACAAGAACTAGTAGTTGTGGTTGATTATGGTCTCACAGACCGGGGTTTCGGAGTTCGTATGAGTTTGGCATTCTCCGCATGAGTTTGTTAAGTGAAACTAAATTTAGTACACATGTTAGTTTAGGTTTGACTTGTAAAAAGCTTGTTTATCCAATTTATTATGGAATTGAAAACAAAATGACTTGATTCCGTGCTCAACTCGAGTTGACTCAACTTGTCACAATGTTAAATACCAATGTACACCAGTACCCCATAGTCTACACTTGCTCCTAATTGAGAATCTTCACAATCTCTTTCAGAGAATTTTTATTGACTCGTCCATTTGTTTTTTTTTGTGCAGTTTGAATCATGAGTGAAAACTTGTCCTTGGACCCGCGTAATTAGTCTTTTTTGGAATTGGTACAGTATTGAGGCTAATTCAACTGTTTGGTATCTCTCTCATAAGCTACAATGGAATAGGCTACAAATTGTTTTATACTTAAAGCTGTTTTTCTTTTACATTCCATGTATGTATTTAAAAAATAATTTTTAGTCTTTAAATGAAGTAGGCTAATAGTTTGCACAGTGTCCATTAAAAGTTTTATTCAGTGATGATTAGATTAAAATATTTTTTTAAATTGTATAAATGCCTGCTTGTAGTAATCCTTAAAATTGTGGTCAGAAGCAGCCAGTCTCTGCCTAGGATTCGCAACAAGGTTCCGGAGCTGGTGTCTGACTTCATCAGCTCAATGCTAAATGTAAACACATGTTTTTCTGTGTCTTTTGTGCTTTGTCTTTAATCATGCACTTTTTCATACCTTTGCTTTAAGTCTTACAGACTTCAACTGAGTTTGATGATCACCACGTGAATACTCTATATTCTCGCATGATTGAGAACATTTCTCTAACCTTACCTAACCTGTGACTGAGGTAGGCTTACACACCATCGGCAGTTAGTTTAGTTTTTGAGCTTTAAACAGTAATTTGCTGCTGACTGATTGAATTTAATAATTCTTTGCTAATGCATTGGCCTAGTTTTTGATCAATTGAAGTAAGGTTAATTGATTTACAGCAATTTATTTTAAAGTTACTACAGAGTAGGACTCTTAACCTTGGCAATACCTAGGTTGGGGCCATATGTATGCAGGGGCCATGGCTACTGTTTTTTTGAAAGGGAAGGA